ATAGATAGATAGATAGATAGATAGATAGATAGATAGATAGATAGATAGATAGATAGATAGATAGATAGATAGATAGATAGATAGATAGATAGATAGATAGATAGATAGATAGATAGATAGATAGATATAGACTTTTTTGGGACATGGGGTAGGATCGTTCGAAAACGGTATAAAACCGTTTTACTTGACGTTTGGTCAGAGGCGTAGCGATGGGGGGGGGGCTGGAGGGACAGATGTCCACTGGAGCAAGCTAGTTAGGGGCGCCAAAATGTGCTTTGATATTAAATTATTACTAAAAATGATGGGTTTGAGAGTTGCAAAAAAGAAAATGGGGCGAGTTAAAATGGATCCTTTTCCCGGGGGCGAATCTTTTCCCCGGGCGCCAAACACCCTCGCTACGCCTCTGCGTTTGGTCACCCTAAATTAATTTTTTTTTTAAAGCAATACAAAACTGATAAGTAAGATTTCTTCTACTTACAATTTATATAAATATTGTTCTTATCAAAATGATTTCACTTAACCTCTCAAGTAAAAGAAACAGTGATGCAATATTTAGTCTGAATTATGTATAACTTATTACCAATTACAAGCAACAAAAGTATTTAAGAACTAAATACTCATTACATTATTCATCTGGATAATTTATGTTCAAAGTTCGAACTCCCTTAAAATTGAACATATCATAAAAGTGGTCATCAAAATAGTGATCTTCATTAAGTCGAACAGGTTGAATCAGCATCAGTTCCAATGATTCAATAATTCCTCAAGTCTTTTGGCCCAAGATTATGACGTTACAGAATTTGTGTCTCAAATTTCTAATGTTTCAGCCCATCATTTCCCCTCCATTTGCACAATCATCCCTTGTATCTTTTTGGTCGATGCTGATTAAATGTTTAGCACATCCACCAGATGTCCTGACATTTTTGGGTGCCTATTTTCAGGTTAGAATCTTGAAAACTGGAGAACAGAAATTTAATTCTTTACCGTTTTAACCTAAAAATAGTTTTTTTTATCCTAAGTTTATCACCTGGGGAAAACCCACTTATAAATAACCCAGAAATTACGTAATTTTTCTAACTTTTTAAAATTGCTAATCATATATTAAATGAAAAATTACAACGATTAATTTTCTAATCACTTGACAATGTTGAAGATTACGGGCATATGTTTCAATGCTAGATAAAAATATGTCGTTAATATAAGGAAAATATAATACTATATAAAATAAATAAATTACGCAATTACCATATTGAAATGGAATAAACCAAAAAAAAAGTTTGCACACTTATGACAAACTGTGCAGTAGTAAAATCTACCAAAAATGTAACTTATGGAAGTTATGGCAAAATAAATGCATCCAACCATGAATGCTTATAAAAAAATGTTTTTATTACCTCTTGTCCAGTGGGATGGCTCTCAGGCATCAGGTAGCAGGTGGTACATTTCATCTTACATGCAGCTCCACCTTCAACCAGATTTACCCTGATAAATTAAGGGCATGCAGTCTAGAATTTTCTTGAACACATTCAAAAACAAAATAAAGTCTGATCAACACTGATTGTCTTTTACATCGACTTTTTTCTATTATAACATTAAGGATAAAATGCAGTTAGCGGCAGGGCCTATGATTATTCCACTGTAAATAGTATAGGTCATAAATGTTCCCCATGTCAACTATTGAACAGAGTACCACTTTTTATATGTTTTTGGTTATCATTTTCTCATTTTTGACTTAAAAGAGGAGGGAGGGCGCTCCACAGAACATTATGTTGAAACGTTCTGTTAAATTGCGACATTATTATCATATAATTGAGCTCTTTTAACCTTGAACGCGTCTTTTTTCCGAGACTCAGTGAGAAATCGAAAAGTTATCACTGACACTGCGCTTAGGTTGAGACTGAAACAACTCTTTCCAGAACAGTACAATGCCTTTAACTATACATATTTCTTACATTTCATATAATAGCCTTACCCATACTGTAACAAAATCAGGGTCACGATATAAATATAGATATGGATTACTTTTTCAGTCTATTGACAGAGTCAAGTATATTCTGAGAGAGCGTGAGGAGAAAAAAGACTTACCTGTACTTTAGATATGGACAGATGCCTTTATTTTGCTAGTACTTTCTTTAGTAAGATAAAATTGCTTGCAAACAAACTTAGCATTGTCATACTCTAGAGTATCCACAAATTGCGACTCTTTTCTCAACTGAAAGAGAATAAACATGCATTCAATATCCAGATCCAGTATCATAGCATTCATTAGGCATATATTGCCTATATACTATACATTTATCTTTTAAGGATAAAGTGGGGTATGCAGCACACATATTTCCCACATTGATCTAATTTTTAAAAGTGAAACATAATATATAATTCATTGAAGAGTATTTTTTGTTAGAAATTCAATAAGTTAGATTACTACTACAATAATACAATCGAATTACTGATAAGACAGTAGCCGACATTGCCATGAGAAAAAAGCTACTTTAATCTTCATGTCATATGAATAATTATAGAACTATATTTAAAATGGAATAAAAAGAAAAGTATCCTTACTTTCTTTGAGCATGATTTAAAATACAGCATGTCACATTCTTCATTATGTTTCATCAGCGCTGCATGAAGTCTTGATAAAATATGCACCTTTCTTGGTTGATATTAATGGGTACAAAGCGACACCAACAAAGAGGAAGTAACCGTCACATGACCAACCGAATATGGACCGCACGTGATCAATTGGGTCCGATTAGCGATTTTGGCTAAAGGAACCCGGGTCAGAATAGCTACTTCGTTCTTTTAAACAACGCCAGATAAAGTTTTGCATGGTTTATTTCGGCTTCGTATGTTTGTTTGTCGTTGGTATTTGTTTGTGTTGATAAAGAGATGGAGTTTTTTAAACGGGTCGGTCAAGGGAACCGAGACACCGATGTGGTATTATTTGAATCATGGATACTATAAATACTTGAAATAAAACAATTAGAAATCTTCTTATCATCCCAGTTCAATGAAATTAGAACAAATTCTAGGGGCAATATTGGTCTTGTAGAATTTTTTCTACTTTTTCTTATGCTGAAGTGTAATCAGGGTGTAGTGAACATAAGAAACATAAGAACACAAATCCCATAAAAAGAAATAATATTTTAATTTATGAATTGAAAGGTATAGAATTTAAAAAAAAAAAACATTTTTAAAAAGTTTACACAAAATTGACAAAAGTATATTATTAATTTCTATTATTAGTTTTTGATCCAATCCTTGCTCGATTTTCTGTTTTTATTTATTTAAATCAGGTAAATGGTACATAAATTGTGCACTTTCTATTTCTGCTGCTCGTGAGGTATCCTAATATAAACTGTACAATTAAACAAAACGTAAGACTTAAACACATATAAATGTAAAAATAGTCTAACCTTCTTGGCATGAATCACCTCCATAACCAGGATAACAACTGTAACATGTTCCATGACTTGGGTTACATTTTTGGTCTCTGCACGCATTTGAACAGAGTCTGGAGCACATCGGTCCATAACGTCCATCACTGCATGCTGCTCAGAAATGATTTGTTTTAAAAGAAAAAAACGTTTAAAGTATTAACTATTTTAACTGATTAAAAAAAAATATTGAATTGCTATATTTTAATTTAGGACAAAAGACAAGGTTTATTATTATCACGAGTAATATTTCGAGCTGATCACATGGAAATGCAAATAAATTGTTTACCCTTTTCACAATTCAGTCCAGTTGTACCAAGCGGGCATTCATCACAATTTCCGGTCGCGTGGTCACACTTGCGCTCAATGCAATCTTCGCTACAATTTAGTAAACAGTTTTGCCCGTATGTGTTTTGCGGACACTCTGAAATATGACAGCTACAAATTTATAATTTATCGTAAAAAATGCTATTACTTATATTTTGAACATATTTTAAAACAGTACACGTGTCATATGGTTCAATACATATACTATTTATAAATTACTGTTGCAATATACTTCGTATTTCTTTACTTGTTTTTAGCTTTATAAAAAAAATGAAAATGATATGCATTACTTTATTTTTATGATAGATTTTACATTTGAAAAATCGTAAAATAATGAAATTAAATTACCAAAGCAAACATAATTTGAAATGAAAAACCCTAGACATATAAAGTTCAATTTCGGCTTAAAGAAATTCGATTACTTTTTTGGAATGTTAATATTTTATTTTAACTTTTTTATTTCAACATCGCTTAGAATCCAATACACACATTATTACAAAAAAAAAAAAATACATTAAATTGAAAAAATTCAATCAGCAATGCAGTAATAGCGGACATAATTACTTTGTTGGCAAAATGTTCCCGTGTATCCAGGTTTACAATTAAAACAATGTCCATCAGTTACGTTACATTTGTTGTGGGCACAATTGATTGAACAATTTTGAGAGCAGTTGGTGCCAAAACGACCGCCATCACATGCTGTAAATTATAGAACTTTTAGATACCAATATAATGATAGTAAAATAACAATTTTAAAGATTAATTTTCAGTTTTTAATCATTATAATTTTTTCCAAATTTTTTAATTAAAAAAACCTTTTGGCTCACAACTGTAAAAACAATGTATATACTTCAACTATTTATAAAAAGACGTATCAACTTAAGTTACTTTATTATTTCAGACATAGTTATGCTAGTAAAAAATCGGTTATGTCACTTAAATATGTCTGGATTTTCCTCTCCACAATGCCAACTTGAAATATAATTGCACACTGTGATCAGAAAACTGTTAATCAATGCACTAATTTGTTTTTTAAAGCTAGAAATCTAAGCTAATTCCAAAATCACTTCATCATAATTTCATGACAGATCTTTATCTGTTTGACTTGTTTGTTATTTCATGTATATGATACACAAAATTATGTTACCTTTATCACAGTTCTGATTGACATATCCAGATTTACATCCTTCATCACAAACTCCAATAATTCGATCACATTTGGAAGGGTCAACACAATGATCACTGCATGAACGGATACAGCCAACACCCCACTTTCCAGCAGAGCATCCTGAAATTATTATTTTTTGTTTATCAAAATTACAAATCTATACAAATCATCACATGTCTTATTTGCAAAATGATAAGACGTATACATTTTAGGCAACTCAAAAACATGCTGCTAAGCATTTTAATACTGGATTTGATTCATTGTAGATCAAGATGACATGTTAGGAGAATGATTCGTGAATTTTTTAGGTTAAGAAACAATGACAGTTCATAGATTGCCCAAGTAAATAAAGTTAAAGATTTAGGAATAATAAAAAAAAAAAAAAAACTATCATAAATACCATTATATTGAAACATTACATTTTTTCAAGGCGAATATTTACGTAAAACAGCAATCAAGAACAGATGTGATAATATGAGAGAACTACAAGTTCAGAATAATTTCAACATAGTAAAACATCGTATACACTTTGCATCCAAAATATTTTTTGTGCAAGGGTATTTTATTCATATTAAAATTTAAGCAAATTAAACACAAATAAATTGTTTCGTAATCAGCATCAAGGTATGATCAAACGTTTAGAGCACATATTAAGGAAAACAAATATGACTTAAAAAATTGTCTACACTTTGCTTATAATTTCAAAGCGTAATGTTACATGCTCTACCAAAGAGAATTAGCCGATCGAAACAAACATTCTATTTAACATTAACACAAAAATAAAATAAATTGAGTAAAAACAAAATCTCTGATACAATTGCATTTTTTTTTTTTGGATACCTTTCAAACCCCCTTCTCCTTGATAACCAGGCGCGCAGCCGGATGGACAAACATCTGTGTTAAAACAAACTTCATCGTGTTGACAATTACAGGTACGATTACAGTCTGGCCCATACTTTAGCTTTTCACAAAAATAATCTAAACGTCGAAAGAAAATGAGGTATTACATTTATAATATAAATTAATATTTTGAAAAATTAAACGGCCCATAGATAAGACAAGATAAGATTTTTTTATTGATCAAAACAAATGGATCTTTTTTTTTTTGCATTGTAGATTCTTAGCAGACAAATAAACAATCTACAATTGGCATGCTCTCTAAATGTGCAGCCCAGTGTAGCCTGTACTTCTTTATTTCTGCCTACATCTAATATACAAATATTTCAATAGTGGAAAAAAAAGTCCTTTAGCTGAATTATCTTAGCCATTTTAGGGACTTATTAGTTTTCATTTAGCATTGTGACTTCTCGGGGAGCATGCTTGGAAATTCGTACAGATTTGGGAACGAAAGAAATGTATATCCTTTAGTCATCGCCCTGAGAGAAATAATTCGTCCCAATGGGGCTGGTCTTAAGTATCTGCGACGAAGAGTGTGGGATATTTCTTCCAAAATTTGATTAGTTTTACAATAACATCTTTCTCCTTCAAATAGTTATTTAAGTGAAGGATTTTTAGTTTGATTTATGTTTCTAGCTTTCTCGATTAGTCTGTTTTTTCGGTGTTTAAAATAAGATTTTCAACTGTTGCACTTATTTTACATAAGTAGAATTTTCTATTTTGTTACGCCATAGAAAATATTTGTCTGAATTTCTTGTACAGCATTTCACCGTGCTCATGCGTGTTAGATTATTAGTCTGTTTTTTCGGTGTTTAAAATAAGATTTTCAACTGTTGCACTTATTTTACATAAGTAGAATTTTCTATTTTGTTACGCCATAGAAAATATTTGTCTGAATTTCTTGTACAGCATTTTGCCGTGCTCATGAGTGTTAGATTATTAATAATTAAGACACACATGTACTTCTTATAAGACATTAATAGAAAAAAAATGGAATTGTAGAGAAAGCAAAGTAATTATATAAAAAAACAAGAAATAAGCATCTTAAACATGCTAGTCATAACGGATATATTTACAATCCACACGTCTTTAAATATTAAATGTTAAAATTTACCCCCGTAGATTTCAACCTCACACAGCGTAAGGATATTATCTTTTAAAGCAACATTAACTTCCGAAATCTGCTGAGACTTGTCCATAACTATTGTGTAGATTATCTTTGCATCGCTCTCTGTGTGTCCTTGTGCCTGAAGACTGCATGACCCGCAGTTCCGACAGCGGTTAATTCAAAACCCCTAAGACGTCCTGGACAGCAGTTGTAATCTTAAATTAAATATAGAACAATAGAATGAATTAATTAATGTAAAGGAAGATTAATGTGTCAAATATCCAAAATATAATCAATTTTGTATTGCAAGATGAAAATAAGTTGTCATCTCAAATACTAATTAATCTTAAAACAGCAAGGAAAACGGTACTACAATAACAATTTTTTTATACAAATGTTTTAAAATAATCAATAAATTCATTACCTTGAGACACATCAATCCTGTTATAAATGACAAATCTGTCTACCTTTGCAGGTTTGTTTAAATAAACATTCCAAAACTGGTTACCGTTGTCGTTAGTATGAGTGCAGCTTTCCTTAATATATTCACTGTTTCTATTACCATCCACAGCTTTCTGGGGACCGGATATGCTACTGAAAGTGGACGACTGAACTGCTATTTGTTTTAATGCAATATTTCGCCCTTAGAGGAAAAAAAATATTCTGAGTTTAATTGGACATTTTGAAAATTTCTTTTTTTTTTTTTAAATCAAGAATTTATCTAGTTGTTTTATTCATATTATGGAATACAGCAATAATTCTAGCACATTTTCAAGAGTGTTTATTTTGCCTATTTCTAAACTGACATTAGAAATAATGTTCTGCATATACTGATCGACTTCATATAAAAAAAACATATATGTTTATGTTTCATTTGCTTTAGGAATTCGTTGTACAGCAGCGTGACTGTTAGGTTCTGGAGGTGCAGCCAAACGGGGTGAAGCCCTCACATGGTAAACAATGTAAATTTCAAACAGCTCGCTTGATTTTATATTATTCGTTTTCTTAAGAAGGGTTTAATCAGAGCAGTGCGGCACCGGAATTCGTTGCCACCATAGCAGGGTGCCACCAGAACTGTTTTTTAATCCCATAATGACACTTATTGTCACATGATTTCAGAACGATGTTTTGCTTTTTCGTTATTTTTTTAAATTTTTACTCTGCTCAAGATGTGGCTTAGCCATCTTCTGCCAGTACACAGAAAAAAATCATTGAAATTATATCAAACGTTGAAATTGCTCATTTTTTAACCGCAGAAGGGATAGACGGGAAAAGGATCAGTTCGCTCTCATTCACAATAAAAGATTTACATTTAATTAATCAGTAGCTGTGCTATTTTGCAAATGGTAATATTCGACTTATTATTGCGAAAATTAACCAAGAGGGCAATCAATAGATGAACCAACAATAATATTTAGAGTTAATTAGATTAATTCATTGCTTATGCTTTAAAAGTGTCTTCTTGTTTCAAAGGATAACGTATTAAAAATATGAAAGGTTTAACCAAAAACAAAAAAACAAAACAAAAAATAAATAAATAAACCTCCACACAGTATTTGTTTATGTTTATTTTTTTTAGAAGTTTTTTCACACTTTGTTTAAAATTTTAGACAATCTAAAAGTCAATCCTAACCTAAAATGTTAAACGATTTTAAAATTCACCTCCATAGATTTCCACCTCACACAGAGCAAGGTAATTATCTTTTAAAGCAACATTAACAGAGGAAATCTGTTGAGACTTGTCCATAACTATTGTGTAGATTATCTTTGCATCTCTCTCTGTGTGTCCTTGTGCCTGAAGACTGCATGGCCCAAAGATCCGATAGCGGTTAATTCAAAACCCCTAAGACGTGCTGGACAGTTATTGTCAACTGAAATTAAGTATAGAACATAAGAAGGAATTAATAAAGGTAAAGGAAGATCCATGTGTCAAAAATCAAAAAAATAATCAATTGTTTAAGGCTTAATGAAAATAAAATGTCATAAAACAGTACTACAATAAAAAAATTTAAACAAATATTTTAAAATAATAAATCAAGTTATTACCTTTAAAAACATCGATCCTGTTATAAATGACAAACCTGTCTACAGTTGCAGGGGGGTTTAAAGTAACATTCCAAAATAATTGGTTACTATTATCGTCAGTATGAGTGCAGCTATATTTATAATAGTCACTGTCTCTATTACCGTCTACAGCTTTCTTGGCACCCGATTTGTTACTGTCATAAGTGGACGACTGAACTGCTATTTGTTTTAATGCAATATTTCGACCTTAGAGAAAACAAAGTGTATTGCATTTAATTAGAATTTTTGAAAATTCCTTTTTTTAAAATTTAAAATTACTTAGCATTTTTATACCATGTGATGAAGTATTGCAATAATTTTAGTACATTTGCAAGAGTATTTATGTTTATACATGTAAACTGATATGAGAAACAATGTTCTCCTTCCTTCTGTTTTCATTGTTTTATAGATTTATTGTACAGCAGCATCACAGAGGTGTGCTGGAGTGCTGTCTGCACGAAGTGAAACCATCACAGTGAAAATAATGTAAATTTGACTCAGCTCACTTGAATTTATATCATACTTGATTGCATTTTAAACTACAAGAAAGGGGTGCAACAAAAGATTGTGTTTTTTTTATCAGAGCTGAGAGTCTCCGGAATTCAGTGTCAACATAGCAGGGTAATAAGTAAAACAAAGTAAGGTAATTCCTGAAAAAATAAACGCAACAAAACAACGAACGTTTCGGCAGGAAGCCGTCGTAAGCAAAAAATCAACAGAAAAAAAAATAAAATGTATATAAAATATATAGCATTTAGCTGAGAGGTTGTGTCCGAGAGGGCAGCAAAGAAATTGTGCATGACAGGGTACCGCCAGAACAGGTTGCTGCGTTTGTTTTGTTGTTGTTAATTTGGGGGGGGGGGGGATCCCATAATGATACTTATAGTCACATGATTTCAGAGCGTTATTTAAGTAAAGGGAACTCAATCGAGATAATTTAGACGTGTGCTTAATATAATTAATTGCCAAAAGAGCATCTAGAGTAAAGAAGTAAAGAGTAGAGAAAAATATATATCTACCGTTTCATCAATGTCACAAAATATTTATGGGACATTCTGCATGGTAAGGGAAAGAAGGGATGGGAGGAAGTCCACAGAGTAATCCCTGGGGAAGTAGTGTGCATTGAGATTTACGGTACCGGGGGACAAAAACACTGGTGACATCACGTTAAATCTACAATTAAATAAAACAAAGATGTCATGTTATTCATGGGAACTTTATAAATTGCATTTATTTAAATCACAAGAAAAGATTCGTTTTAACAATTTATTCGACGTTCAGTTTATTAAATTTAATAGTCTCACTTTAAAGTTATTGTTTATTACCTCCACTGACAAAAACTGAGCAAAATTTGTTCACAATTTCTCCTTCCAAATGAATTTCTGTAAATTTGATTGACTGAATTGAGTCACATCGCAGTTCAAGGATATGTTGGTCTATAATAGATAACTTCTGGTTCTGACAACTGCTTGATGACGATTGGTTCTTTATAAATGTAACTGCAATACTTGGGACTCTTTCTTGTATACCTAAGAGATTTATTATAAATTTCAACAATTGTGGGGAGTGTAGACACTATAGTCAAAATTAACACTCTAGTTCCGTGTATAATATTCTAGGTTTGATAATAAGTACGTTCAGTCTTCTCCCTTTTACCGTTAAAATGATATCACAACACGTCAGTGGTTACATCCCTTTCCTTTCATTACAGCTACTTTTTCTTTTTACTTTTACTCGTTAGTGACACAGCTGTAACTCTCACAGCTTGTCCTGTTCTTATACAGTTGGTCCCTCAACTACCACATATGACTTCTCTTTACTACTCTCTGACAGAGTTATTCTTTCAGAACTAAATTATAGTCCCCTCTCAAATGATTTCATGTTTTTAATAGTTTTTTTTTTAGAATTATTAAATAACATCGCTCGAATACTATTTGAGTGTTTACGAATGAACAAACAAACAAAAATAGTAAAGGATATTTAATTAGCTTATAACTATACTAAAAACTAAAATGAAATATCTACACGTGTTTCAATATCAGTAAATTAAAATTGTGCAAAATGCCATTGGTAAAGAGATTCTCATCGCATGACGAGACAAATGGGATCGAGGTAAATAAAATCGTGGTCTTTAATAAAAATTTGTTGCGAATTTTGCTGTAAGTTTGTTTGTTTTTCAAAAGATTAAATCGAAGGTACTATTTAAAAGATACATTTAAAATAAATATTTGTTAAACGCAGATGAGATATTTGTTGAACAGAACAATCTATTAAGAGGATTTAAAGAACCTGGTTCATGGGAGGGCAATACGCAGAAAAGTGAAGACGTAAGTGACATTCCAAGTCAAGGTTAAAGTTCGGTTATGGTTGGCTCCAATATTGCATTCACCATCATGCTTTGAGTTTCTCAAGAAATAGGTTTCTAACAAGTTTTCTGTCGATACAAAAGATGTTGTCAGTGATTAAGCACAAGTATGTGGTACATTTATACATTAAACTGGTGATTTAGCTTGTTCCTTCAATGTCTTAAACACAAGCTACACATTTATAAATGGGTTATTAATTTCAGTTTCAGTTTTAAATCAAGTTAACTTCGCTCACTTGTTTTACATCTTTATTATTAAAAAAAAAACAAATTGAACAATTATCTTGCACAATTGTGTGTGTACATTTAAATTTGAGCTTAAAGTGAATTTTTTTTTAAAAATTAGGACAATTAAAATGTCGTTATGGCTAGAATCCGTCTTTAGCAGGCTACACAGAACAAGAAAAAACAAGGACTTAGAAATATAGAAATTTAAAAACAAATTCCAAGTTTTCAACAAAGCTTTAAATTCTCTCTCTTTCTCTCTCTCTCTCTCACTCTCTCTCTCCCTTCTTCTCTCTCTCTCTCTCTATATATATATATATATATATCATACACATTTTTCTAAAATCCATAGCTTATATTTTTAAAAAAAAAAGATAAATAATTATTGTTAAAATTAAGGCATTTTTCTAACATGTTGACATTTAGGGAATTTGAAAAGTAAATCTAATATTGACTATTTTAGAACAGATGTTAAAGACACAATACAGGCAGTGCATAGTCTTATTCTTTTAAGCTACTGAAAACAGTTTAGGGGATTCTACACAGGAGGGATAGGAAATCCCTCCTGAATCTGAGGACTAAATCCCACGTGCAGGGACTGGAATTTCTTTAGGGACTTGAATTTCTTGAGGTTTACAAAATGTGTATGGGAAAAGAAAGAACAAAATATAATAATAAAAAAGATTGGATAAAATGGGGATTTAGGTCCAATCAAATGTTTGCCTAGACATAATGTTCGCCACAGATCAATTATGATTCAATTTCTATGTCCTCACAAAATGAGATAAGTTTAAATTCGGGAGTGTTGTTAAATGGATAATGCCATCACTTAAAAAAATAGCGTTATTAGATTAATATTTTGACTTGATAAACACATTCATAAAAAATTGAAAAAAATTAATTTTATACAAATTAATTTCTTCCCTCTTTCATAAAGTTAGAAATTGTTGGAACACGTTATTATTATTCTTAATTTTAATGAAACTCCTTTTTTTTTAAAGAAGATTGAAAAAAAAAATTTAGTAATAAAGTATTTTAACGAAATTTTTGTTTAAAAAAAAAATTAAGTAATTTTAAGTAAATAACGCAACAACTTAAAATATAGTAGTAGTAAATTAAACAAAATCAGAACACACTTACATTCTGTGGTTCAACTATTAATTGACAATGGTGTAAAACTAAATTCAACTATACGCAAAAAATCTGTGCATTTTAATTATATTAAAGCAATTTTTTTTCTGCGAAGGGCTCAATGTGCGCCCTACTCCGCTTCTCCCGCCCCTACCACTTTTGCCTGCGATCATTGACGCCCTCAAGTTCTGAATTATCCCCAATTCCTCACGCTTATCAATGTGACACAATGTGGTCAAGTTAAATTCAGCTGGGACCAGGGGTGGACTGGGTCGCCGGGACACCGGGAAGATTTCCGATGGGCCGCTAGGACCGGTGATATAATAAAAATAAAAGTCTTGAAGATAGGGCCGCTTTTTGTTTGATTTTTTCCCCTGGCCGCTTGAACTCCCCAGTCCACCCCTGGCTGGGACCAGAAGAATTATCCGGGGCGGGCTACAACTGGAATGAATTGAGGCTAAGTAAAATGGCCTATTATGAGCAGTGATAGATGACCTGTCCTCCTACACATCTCCCACATGGCCCGTTTAATGTTACGTCCCTTGATCTAAGTTTTTTGTAAGAAAGTCTCCTCATTCATGTTTCGTCAAAATGAGCCCCTTGTTCTGGTAAGGGTTAAACCCCTCCCATAGACGACTCCCCTATTTTCGCTTTGTGGTTTTTTTGTTGCCACCCTCTGTATCTGTCCTACACCACCCTATCTAAATTAGAGTTTTGGCACGTTTTATCTACGAAAACAAAATAAGAAACACTTCATGTCATTAACTTAGGATTAAACGTATATAAAAACATAAGTTGACAAATGGATTTCATGGTAAAAACTTAGCTATAGCGAAATGCATACAATGAAGCAGCGGTTCATAAACTCTGTTTAGTTCTTTCCTGGGGAATAACTTTGGGGTAAGTAAAAATTAAATTGATAATGGGAAAAAAAATTGTAAATTGTACACCTTTTCCTTCAAGAGAAGCTAATTATCTTCATAGATGTAATCAAATGATACATAGAAAGAAACCATTTTGGGAGCGACTGTATATAGAGTTGCAACAACTTGAATGAATTAGTTTATGCTAAGATAGGACAGTCGGCCCTGGTAAACAATATGACCTAATTAGGAAATAAGAGATGAACTTCCAAAAGTCGCAACTATTGTGAGTGACGCCCTTGGCGGGTAAAAAAGTTAAGCACCCCATCTGCGATTAAAAAATACTGCAAAAACCGAAAATACTGCCCCCTTCCATTAAAAGAAAAAGGGACATCGCGTGTGGACAACCCCATCCAACAATTTCCTACGCCACTGGCAACGCCCTCCCGTCCGCCTGGAACAAATTGAAAGGAGCCCTGCAAAAGAATACATGAAAATTTAGCAGTTTGTGGGTGGGGTGGGGGGAAAGTTGCCCATAAACATTAAATATGCGAGGACTCTCCGTAGCAAATACGCTACTGATACATTTTGTCAATGTCAGAACCATCCGTTGTAAACATTTAG